AATTAGACATAACCAACCATTCTCTCAAAACCAGTTTGCTTTTATCTAAGTAATATTATAGTACCTCCCCAACAGCGTTAGCGGAGCCTGGGGCTGCACGCCTTTATTCCTAGCACTCGCGAAGCGGAGGCTGGCGGATCTCTATGAGGCTAGACTGGTCTACAGAATGAGTTCCAGGACAGCGAGAGTTCTGTAAGAAACCCTGTCTCAAAGGATAAAAAGGGGTACAAAGTACTTAACACAGTCCCGTGCATCGCCTAACCGCTCAGTAATCTTGAAAGCATACCCATGACAGACATTTACCACTATTCACTTGAAAGAACCTTTTTAGCATAATAATTCATTTAATGTCCTCAGCTATAAGGTAGATTTATTGTTCTCATTTTGTTTTGTTGTGCGGGTTTGTTTGTTGGGAGGGGGAGAGGTGCTTAGTACTGTAGCTCAGTGGTAGAGCGAGTATGAAGCCATAGACTCAATCCCTGTCACTGCTGACATTTTTTGTTGATTTAGACAAGGTCTTGCTGTGTAGCTCGGTTAGCCTTAAACTTAGGATCCTCAGTCACCAGCCTGCCTGGCAGGAATGAGGATACTGTAAAGAGACATACCTGTGTCTCTTTACTTTGGCTTTTAGACTGTGGAAGCAATGAACCCAAGAAATTTGAATTTCCCTAGGAATCTCTTGTTGGGAGCAGAAATGAGCAGCTAAAAGAAGCAAAAACACATACCTAAAAAGAAAATAACTCCATTGCCATGAAGATGACCCCCTGGTGTGGGATCACTCCCTGGAGAAGGCCCAGCAATGTGTGGGTGACGTCAACATCTTTTTCACAGGGATGTTTTGGAGGTTTGGGGTTTGTTTGCTGTTGTTTTGGTTTGGGTTGAGTTTTGTTTTTGTTTTGAGATGTGTAGACATCTTACTGTGTAGCCTACTCTGATTTAGAACTTACTGAGATACTCCTGCCTCTGCCTCCTCTACACTAGGATTATAGACCTTCTACATCGTGCCCAGAGCTATGGAAGAGGCAGAGTAGAAAGACATAAAAATTATGGAAACATGAGAAATGAAAAGAGCCCCACATCCTGAAATCTGGTTGAATCTTCTCACCAACTAAGATTCAAAAAATTCAATAGGGGGCTGGAGAGAGATTAAGAGCACTGGCTTTCCTGGCGGTGATGGTGCACACTTTTAATCCCAGCACTCAGGAGGCAGAGGCAGGCAGATCTCTGTGAGTTCAAGGCCAGCCTGGTCTACAGAGCAAGTTCCAGGATAGGCTCTAAAGCTACAGAGAAACCCTGTCTCAAAAAACAAAACAACAAAAGAGCACTGACGGCTTTTCCAGAGGACCACATTCAATTACCAGCACCACATGGTGGCTCAAAACCATCTGTAACTCCAGTTCCGGGGGATTCAAGATCTTCTTTTGGTCTCTGTAGGCACCGGGCACATATGTGGCACATAGACATACGTGCAGACAAAACAAACTTAATTTGTTTTTGATTTTAAAAAGAAGCCAGGCTGTGGTGGCACCTGCCTTTAATCCCAGCTCTCAGGAGTGTTCGTTTCTGCTGCAGTCGCAGCCCGCCTCTGTCGCAAAAGTGGTTTCATCATTCATTACCTGCCACCGGGCACCTTTTCCACCATCAGCTTTGTGACATGTGCACTCCGTAAACTGCTTCTCTTCTTCCTCTTGTCTGTCTGCCTGCCTGCCTGCCTGCCTGCCTGCCTCTCTTATGTCCCCATGGCCTTTCGCTCTTTCATTCTTCTCTGATCCAACGTTTCAGAGCCCCTCTGTTGCAGTTTTTTTCTGAGTTCTGCATCCAGAACAGCTTCAAGGCTACTGGCTGAGATGATCCAGCCTCACAGAATACTCCAGTCAGGACTTGACGATAATCCTTATCAGTGAGAATGCTTGGCCTTAGCTTATGCTCGTTTCTGGCTAACTTTTTTCCTTTAACTTAAATTAACCTGTTTCTCTTCATCCTACATTTCGCCTTTCTTTCATTCTGTGTGTCCTACTGCATGTCTAGCTGGCTGGCAGCTGGCTGGCTGGCTGGCTGGTCCAGGGCATATCTCCCCCTCTTCCTCCCTTTCTTCCTCCCTCATTCTCTCCTTCTCTTCTTTCTAGAGCCCAGACTCCTATTTATTCTCTGTCTGCCAGCCTGCCTATCCCTGTTCTGCCTAGCTATTGGCCATTCAGCTTTTTATTAGATCAATCGGGTGCCTTAGGCAGACAAGGTAAAACAGCAACTCATCTTCACATAGTTAAACAAATGCAGCATGTCACACATCTTTACATAGTTAAAGGAATATTCCATAACTTTAAGGGAATATTCTGCAACACTGGGTAGTGTTAAAGGAATGTTCTGTAACTTTAAGGGAATATTCCGCAACGCTGGGTATTGTTTTGAGATAGCATCTCTCACTGGCTTGGAACTCACCAGGTTTGCTAGTAAGACTAGCCCATGAGCAGGAGGCTTGCCCATTTCACCCTCCCTTAGTGCTAGCCACCACACCTAGCTTTTTTATGTGGATTCTAAAAATTAAAGCCAGGTCCTCATGGGCAAATGAGATGATTCAGTGGGTAAAGTCACTTGCCATTAATCCTGACTATTTGAGTCCATTCCAAGGCCCCACACAGTGGAAGGAAAAAACCAACTCATATATGCTGCTCTCTTGACCTACACACATGCACAATGGCACATACAGCCCTACTGATAAATGAAATAAGGTCTTCAAAAAAAGAAAAAGGAAATTGATTGTTAGGTGTATAAGAATTCATTAGTCTTATTTTCTCTACTTTTTCTTGGTTATTTTACTTCTGGAGACAGTCTCATGTAGCCCAGGGTGGCCTCAAACTTACTATATAGCCAAGAATGATTTGCACTTCTGAGCTTCCCGCCTCTATCTCCCAAAAGCTGTGATTACAGAGAACATCACCATACCCTGCTTTATTTTACTGTTCTGGCCTCGGGCACGCTAGACATGCACTCTCCCTCACACCTGAGCTACATTCCCAGCCCCAATGGATTTTTTTTAAGCTTTATTATTTTAGTACTGGAAAGATGGCTCAGTGATTAAGAGCACTTACTGCCTTTTCAGAGGGCCAGGGCTCAGTTCCCAGCACCCACACAGGACAGCTCACAACCACCCGTATCTCCAGTTCCAGGAGATCTAATTCCTTCCTCCAGTCACCATGGCCACCTGCATACACGTTTCACATACATACAGTCACACAGTGCACACATGTACGCACATTAAATAATTTTTTTAAAAAATTTACTTCTGGGGCTGGAGAGATGGCTCAGAAAGTAAGAGCACTGGCTGCTCTTCCAGAGGTCCTGAGTTCAATTCCCAGCAACCACATGGTGACTGACAACCACCTTGCCAGCAGTACATTGTATGCTTAATAAATAAATCTTTAAAAAAAAAAAAATTTACTTCTGGGCCAGGCAGTGGTGGCGCACGCCTTTAATCCCAGCACTCGGGAGGCAGAGGTAGGTGAATCTCTGTGAGTTCGAGGCCAGCCTGGTCTACAAGAGCTAGTTCCAGGACAACCTCTAAAGCTACAGAGAAACCCTGTCTCGGAAAAAAAAAAAAAAATTTACTTTTGGGGCTGGAGAGATGGCTCAGAGGTTGGGAGCACTGGCTGCTCTTCCGAAGGTCCTGAGTTCAATTCTCAGCAACCACATGATGGCTCACAACCATCTGTATTGAGGTCTGGCGCCCCCTACTGGTGTGTGGGAAGCAGAATGTTGTACACATAATAAATAAATAAATTTAAAAAAATAAAATAAAATAAAAAATTTACTTTTGCCAGACAGTGGGGGCACAGGCCTTTAAGTCCCGCACTTGGGAGGCAGAAGCAGGCAGATCTCTGAGTTCAAGGCCAGCCTGGTCTACAAAGTGAGTTCCAGGACAGCCAGGGCTGTTACACAGGGCTGTTACAGAAAACCCTGTTTAAAAAAAAAAAAATTTAACTTTCATTCTTTTTACTTATGCATAGGTGTGTGTGTTTGTATGTGGGTCTGTGCATGTAAGTGCAGATGAGTGCAGCCATCTGATCCCCTGGAGCTGGAGTTACAGATGATTATGAGCTACTACAGGTGCTAAGAACCAAGCTTGAGTCCTCTGGAAGAGCAGCCAGTGCTCTCAACCACTGAGCCATCTCTCCAGTCCCCCCATGTTTTATATTTTATATAATAAAAAGACTGCAAATAATTGAAAGACATCTACAAGTACAGATCCATACCGGTAAATTTAAAAGAATAGGGGCTGAAGAGATGGGTCAGAGGTTAAGAGCACTGGCTGCTATTCCAGAGGACCCAGGTCCAGTTCCCTGCACCCACATGGCAGCTCACAACCATCTGTAACTCCAGTTCCAGGGGATCTGGCAACATCACACAGATATACATGCAGGCAAAATACCAATACACACAAATAAATAAATTTTAAAGAGCGAGAGAGAATAGCCAGGAGGTGGTAACACACGCCTTCAATCCCAGCATCAGGAATCAGAGACAGGCAGATCTCTGTGAGTTTGAGACTAGCCCGGTCTACAGTGCAAGTTTCAGGAAATCCAGGGCTATACAGAGAAACCCTGTCTCAAAAAACCAAAGAGAGAGAGAGAGAATAAACCAAAACAAATTAAAGGAACACCATTACTACTTCGAAAATGACATGGAAAAAGGCATGGTAGTGGACTCCTAGCGTCGGGAGTCTGAGGCAGGAGGATCCTTGAGCTCCAGGCTAACCTGGACCACACAGTGAGACCCTGTTTGGGTTTTGTTTATTTTTGTAACACCAGGTATCGTGGTGTAGGCCTATAATCCCAGTACTTGGAAGATAGAAGCAAGATCATGAGTTGAGGATCAGCCTTAGCTATATAGTGAGTTGAAGTCCGGTCTTGGCTATGTGAGACTCTCTCAAGAAAAGAAGGGGGTTGGGATGGGGAATGAAAGACACATAAACACCTGTCTTATCATTCTGGTATGAACTTTATTTCAGGGTAGCTAAATGGTCCTGAGCTATGAAGTTTTTCTGTACAGAGTTAGAGCTAATAAATAAAGGTATACTAATAATGTCAGGAAATGATAGTTTTGTAATCCCAGTGAAATAAAAGGATCATCAGTGGATGGCAAAACAACTTGGTTTAAAAGTTGGCGGGAAAGTGTATGGTGCAGGAGTCAGGATATCACCATCTGAAACTGGACGGAGTGTGGGGACTAACATGGGCAGGGAGGAGGAGAGCTTCCAACCAGAAATATCCATACTCCGTGAAATTACTGACAAATAAGTCTTAGATTGTGTTAAGTCATGGAAATATAAGAGCAAGTCATTAGAGAAGTTACTTTACTATCAAAGTACACTATATATACATAATAAACATGTAAAAGCCTACAATCATATTATACACATACACATATATACTTAAAGATACATTTCCAAACATATGTTGACACATTTGAGTGTATGCCTATGTCCAAGAGAAGATTGAGACTGGGATCAGGAACTAAAAAAAGAAAAATATGGATCCAGAATCAGCGATAATTAACCACTAAGGAATAAAAAAACATTTAAAAAGGAGATGTGTGTGAGTCCCAGGGAGAGCCTGGTTTAGTCTGTTGGGAATGTAATTACCTCTGCCTGGAGGAGCAGGCCACAGTGGTCCTGGAAAGGAGAGACTGTCAGGGACCCAGCCTGAAGAAGCCCTCCTCCCACCCAAGTCTGATTCCTTTTCTGAGACTGGCCTCAAACCTTCCTGCCCCAGCCCCCCGAGGGCTCGGATTGCCAACATGTGCCAGCATGCCCAGCCTAACTGGCTGTTAAGCCACTAGAATTTGTGGTAATCCATTACATCAGCAACAGCAAACCAAGACACTGCTGATCTCCTAGGAGAGTAAGAAAAGAGTGGCTGTGAGGGCTTAGTGGGGAGGCACGGATTTCACGGAAGACCTTACAATCACACTGACTTTGATGTGCACCATGACTCATTTGTTACCGATCTGAAATTAGCAAATTTCTATTCAACAATATGTTGGTAACAAGGGGCTGTTTATAGGATTAAGAAACCATGTTTTAAAATGCTTAATGTATAAACCAGGTTAATTTTCTTTTTATGCATTACATTTCCCTGTGGGCCCACACACATTCTTTATTCTTTGAATGGGTGCAATTGAATACTCAGCATGAACCTGGCACCATAACCACAATGCGCTTGTGCTCACTGTAACCACAAATATTTCTAACTGAAACTGCCACTCAGCTTCTTCCATTCAACCTAAGGTTTAGCCTAACCTCCCCCAGCTCCCTTGAAACACAACACCTGACCTCTCCAATGGTCTCGGGTCCCCTGGACAGACCCATCTTCCCCCTCCCAGATTCTGTTTCCCCAGCTACCATCTTGGCATTGAGTTTGGAGATCAGACTTTCACCCTGCTTCCCTTTCTTCTTGTGTCTCTGCATCTCTCACTTCTCTGAGCTCCCAAACGGCTCCTATTTATAGTCATAAAAGTTGACGCTAATAAGACAACCAGGCCTCATCCAGGCAGCCTAGAGGCATGTAGGAAAGACCAGGGATACATTTTCTGTGACTCTTGGATTCTTCAGATGATGAACTAGAGTCTAAAGGTATTAAGACAGGATATCCAAACCCAAGTGTGGTGGCTCACACTTCTAATTACAGCACTCAAGAAGCTGAGGCAGAAGGATTGCCCACAAGTTCCAGGCTAGCTATGTAGTTGAAGATGACTTTGAACCCCTAATCTGTATCCACCTGTCAAGTGCTGGGATTACAGGCCAGGGGTGTGCCACCATACCCAGGTAGGTCTCAGTCTCAGATCTTACAATGAGGAAAATAGTTTTCAGTTCCTTTGGGCATTGGGGTGTTGACTGGGCAGTGTGACTACAGATGGAGCTGTGGGTTTGCAGGCTGGGCAGTGTGACTACAGATGGAGGTGGTTTGCAGGCTGGGCAGTGTGACTACAGATGGAGGTGGTTTGCAGGCTGGGCAGTGTGACTACAGATGGAGGTGGTTTGCAGGCTGGGCAGTGTGACTACAGATGGAGCTGTGGGTTTGCAGGCTGGGCAGTGTGACTATAGATGGAGGTGGTTTGTAGGCTGGGCAGTAGGTTCTCTACCAAGGCCATTGCTACAGTTTCACAACAGGCAGAACTGGGCAAATCTATGCCACCTCTCAAAAGGCTAGATCGAATTTCATTTAAACTTGGAGATTTCACCCAGCAACTCCAGCAATGTTGCATAATGGCCACAAGGAGGCAGGCAACCTCTTCAGCTCCTAAATTTATAGCTGATGAAATGTAACTCAGAAACAGAATACAGTATCTTCAATGAGGAAAGGTGGTTGGTTGTCCAAGGAACACTATAGATGGCTCAGAGTGTGGAATGAGACAAGGCATCTGAAATTCCAGTCTGAGGAAAAGAAAGTAGGAGTCCCAGAACTTTGGGGCACAGTGAGGAAGTCCAGCTACAGTGGAAAAGAATCTGAGGTCACTGTAGACATAGCCATCACTTTGAGGGCATGGGAGGAGAGGTCTATAGATAGGAAAGCCAGAGGCCGAACTGCTGTAGCTATGAAACTATTGAGGTGTTTGGGCTGGGGAGACAGGAGAGAGGGCACAATCAACATGGTTACTTTCCTTTCCCCAAAATGAAATTTCTGGAAAGCAGAAAAAGACTGTTTTGGGGAAGACTCCTCCAACTCAGGAGGGTCCCCTGAACAAAGATCGCCCTTTCCCCTCCAGTATAATCCAGTTTCGGGGCCCTGGAAAGACAGAGCAGCTACCTGGGACTCAAAGGGCTAATCTCCAAGAAGTCACTCTGGTTTCTTTGTTTTTGTTTTATTGGTTTGGGTTTTGGTTTTTGGAGACAGTGTTTTTCTGTGTAGCCCTGGCTGCCTTGGAACTCGCTCTGTAGACCAGGCTAGCCACAAACTCACAGAGATCTGCCTCCCAAATGCTGGGATTAAAGGTATGAGTCACCACCAGCCGGCTCTGATTGCTTTTTGAGACTAGGTCTAACTATGTATATATCTTTGGCCGGCTTGGAATTCATAGAGATCCGCCTGCCTCTGCCTTCTGAGTGCCCAGCTTACTTAGGTATAAATCACGGCATTTGCCACCCCTTCTCTGGGCCTGCCCTTTCCTTGAGGCCCAGAATGGCGATTTCCCTGAATTTCTTCACCAGTGTACTTAGCTAGGGTCTTGGGATCCAGCAGCACCAATTACCCCTCAAGTCCAGGAGTCACAGGCTTGCCCTAAAGTACTTTCCAGTCTATTCCCCGCAATGAGGCCCAGGAACCACAGGGCCTCTGTCTTTTCCTGCCACACCCCCACACTGTAGCTCAAACAAGGGGATTCCTTGTGTTTCAACTTGAGAAAGGCATTCTTATGATCAAATGGTGGAAGCTGGCCAGGATGAGGGAAGGGTGAGCAGAGTCAGAGATAACAAGATCATCCCGCCATCTGAGAGTGTCCCCAGAACCTTGAGAATCCACTCTCCTTATTTCCAAACAACAATGGGACGAGAGGCACATAAAAATGCAGAGGCCGAAAGAAGACACTGAGACGTGAAGACGCTCCAGCTAAACTCCTGGCAGATGGATCTGGAGGTAAGAAACAGGGCCAGGGCCAGACAGGGTCTCCAGGAAAGTGAGCTAAGCAGATTTGAGAGCCGAGGTGGAGGCCTCTGAGTTTCTCACCACCCGGTAAGAATATCATTACAGCACCAAACAGGGGTGAAAACACCATGTTTGAAAAGGAAGAACCTGATAAAAGCAGCACAGACATCTGCAGCAAGAGTGATGTGTTTCCTCTCGCAGGAGGCAATGGCAGGACAACAGGGACTCAGGAACCCTCCATACAGACCTATGACACACCAACCAGGACTGCTATAGAGGAAGCACTCTTCCCTGTACCATGAAAGGAAATGACATCACTCAGCAGACAGCAAAGGGTTCCTCTCCCAACTCCAAAGGCATGGAGGAGAGCCAATCCATGGAGGTTTGGTCCTGAACGCCCTTCCCCAATTCTCCATCTTTTATGAGGCATCCCAGCCTCCCAGGGTTTGGATGAGGAGATTATTTCCCCCATCTCTTCTTCAGTGATGTCCTAGAAGCCCTAATTTCATAAACCTTCACCTCACTGGGGAAGGATGTGGGATACCCTTACATCAGGAGCCACCGGCTAGTTCTCTAGAGTCAATATCTCTATGGAAATAGCTCCAGGGACCCAATAATTGAGGGATAAATGCAAAGGCTCCCCAGGGAGCAGAGAGAGAAGCCAGGCTCCTGTGGTAAGTGATTTCAGTATAGCTTCTGTCTAGTCGGAGGTTGAGGGAAAACTGAGAGAGACTTGGGCCACAAGCTGAAAGAGCCACAAAGCACAAATAGGTAGGGAAGTTGTTACAAGAAGGTCACATCATCCTGGCACTGTCCCCAGAACCAGTGAGCCTCAAAGCCCTGCTTAACATTGTCATCCTCCGATAGCTCAGGTGGTCCACCTTGCAGCTCGTCTCCTGGGAGCTTCCAAGGAGCCGTTAAGCTCCCTAGCTTGGTGGATGTTACGTCCACCTCAGTCTTGGCTTCACTGGGTATAACCTTTGCCCAGTCAATCTCAAGACAGGAAGGCCCAGGGGGTCCTTGTTCATCCAGCTCTTTGGGGGCCACAGTGTCCAAGAAACTGCCAATAGAGACACTATCCAGCCGGTCAGTTGAGCTGGTATCTGGCAGGCTGTCCCAACTGCCCCGCCTTGAGCGGCCTGGGCTTCCACCTGTCAGGCTATACTGGCTGCTGGTGAGACTGCTGCAATGGCTGGTCAGTGTTCCCCGCTCCTCCAACAGCCAACGAACGGCCTCGATGCCCTCGTTCAGGGTCACCAGCTGCTGCAGGATCTTCACGTCGATAGCTCGAAGGTAAGTCTGAAGAAGTGAGAAGAGAAATTAGTTCCCGGTTCTAAGCTGTGAGTTTCCCAGGTGTTTCTCTGGCCTTGCGGTCCAGTCAGCTACGTGTCAATTTTAGTAAACCTGGACAGACAGCCAGGTGGAGGTGGCACACACCTTTAATCCCATCACTTGGGAGGCAGAGACAGATGGATCTCTGTGAGTTCGAGACCAGCCTATTCTACAGAGTGAGTTCTAGGACAGCCAAACCAGGGTTACACAGAGAAACCCTATCTCAAACAAACAAACAAACAATAAATAAATAAATAATATAAATAATAAATAAATAAATAAATTAAATAATAAATAAACAATAAATAAATAAGCAAGCCATCACCCACTTCACAGCCCGGGAGCAAGGGTTCCTGAAATGCTGTCAGGCACGTACTTAAATATTAAAATATGAGGCTCGGGGGCTGCAGACACAGCTCAGTGGGAAGAACACTTGCCTAGCAGGCACTAAGCTCTGGGTTCCTTAGCACCCAGTAAAGTAGGTATAGTGATGTAGTTTTGTAATCCAGGCACTCAGGAGATGGAAGCAGGAGGATCAGAAGTTCTAGGTCATTCTCAGCTATGTCAGCAGTTCAAGACCATCCTGTGCTTCGTGAGACCCTGTTTTAAAATTAATGAAAGAAAATAAAACAAAACTGGTTGTGATGGTCTAGCACCTAAGAAGCAGAGGAAACACTTGGGAGGCAGAGGCAGGCAGCCTGGTTCCAGGACAGCCAGGGCTACACAATGAAACCCTGTCTCAAGAAACAAAACAAAAAATCAAAAAAAAAAATGGACAAAATAAAGAGGCTGAGGTAGGAGGAACAAGAGTTTGAGGCCAGAGGCCAGAGACATGACTCATGGTTAAGCCTTGCAGAGGGCTGGAGCTTGGTTCCATATGAGGTGGCTCATAGCCTCCTCTAAACGACAGCTCCAAAAAATCCCGTCCCGTCTTCTGACCTTGATACAAACATGCATAAACACATGAATAAAAATAAATACTTTTAAAACTTTAAAGGCGTTTGAGGCTAGCGTAAGAACTAGTAAATTGGGGCTGGAGAGATGGCTCAGAGGTTAAGAACACTGCCTGCTCTTCTAAAGGTCCTGAGTTCAATTCCCAGCAACCACATGGTGGCTCACAACCATCTGTAATGAGGTCTGGTGCCCTCTTCTGGCCTGCAGGCATACACGCAAAACAGAATATTGTATACATAATAAATAAATAAATAAACATTAAAAAAAAAGAACTAGTAAATCACTGTCTCTCTTCTTTCTCTTCTCTCGGCATCTCTCTGTCTTTCTCAGTCTCTCTATCCCATTCTCTTCCTTCCTCCATTTCCTTTATCTCAGTAAAACTCTTCACTGAAGAAAAACAAAACAAACACAAAACTAACAAATCCAGAGTTAAGGTTAATGCAGAGTACCTGCTTAGCACGTCCAGTCTCCAACACAACACACACATGCGTGCGAGCGCGCACGCAAACACACACACACACACACACACACACACGAATCCAAAATCCACTCTACTGGGCTTCAAACTTCCTATTCAAGGTAAGCTGTTGGGGTATATTCCGTCATACTGTGAACCCTGAATTTTCATTTGCGCTGATTAAATAAAATTAACCTTGGGTCAGGAGACTGAGTTAGCATCTGGTTGACAGAAAGTAATCACAGAGCATCAGAGGGCATCCAGGAGAGACAGAGAGACACAGGAAGCAGTAGGGAGGGATTTGGAGTGGCCCAGTTTTTTATGGTTTGTCAGAGTGGAAGCATGGGTCTTTTGGAGATACCAGTAAAAAAAGGTTAGGTCGTTGTGACCCAGTCTCTCTGAGTTAAAAGGTTTTCACCCCAGTCTTTGAATCTTGAGTTTTATTTATAAAGAGAATGATAAAGATTTAGTTAAGAGTACCTTTAGCAGTAGCCACAGAGCCTAGTGGGACATCAGGCTGTGGCCTGAGTAGCAGTAACTGTGGAGCTGCAATTGCTGGCTGAAGTAGCAGTAGGTTAAGGCACAGCCACGGTGCCAGAGTTAAACAACAGTAAACTATTCTACCAATCTAGACTCACAAGTGTAACTTAGAAACCAAAGGCTAGCTCTCCTAAGGTGTCAGCTGGGAAACAGTTTGGGCCAAAAGGAGATGGGAACTAAGGAATCAAGAGGGTGCTAACTTGGTTCGCTTGGTGACAAGGCCCAATGGGGAGAAGGGCTAGGTAGAGCTCAGGGTCAGAATCCCAATGCTGGGGATTTGGGGCCTTTAGTTTCCCTTTAGTCTTCCAGAAGTGTGAACTACAGTGTAACCTCCAGAGGTCCCTCCCACCTCAAGTGTACTGAGTTAACCTTTCTCAAGCACAAGTCTGAACCTGCCTCTACGCTTTGCAGTGTTCAGAAAGAATAAACATATCAGTAGATGCCTGTTATATTATGACCCTTGTCCATCTCTCCTGAGTCCTGGTATATTATTGCTTGTAAACTTAGATTTATTTAGTTTAACATTTTTTAAATATTTATTTTGTTCTGTCTGCATGTATGTCTGCATGCCAGACCAGAAGAGGGCACCAGATCTCATTACAGATGGGTGTGAGCCACCATGTGGTTGCTGGGAATTGAACTCAGGAACTCTGGAAGAGCAGTCAGTGCCCTTAACCATTGAGCCATCTCTCCAACACTTATTTAAACTTTTAACCAAATTAATACATTCATATAGAAATAGGCCTGGTGGCACAAATTTGTAATCCCAGCTAATGAAGAGGTGAAGGCAGGATTGCAAATTCAAGCACATTCCAGATAATTGTTTTGTCTCATAATAAAAAGATATTTTAGTCAGCTGGTGGTGGCTCACACCTTTAATACCAGCTCTTGGGAGGCATAGACAGGTGGATCTCAGTAAGTTCGAGTTCAGCCTGATCTACAAAGCGAGTTCCAGGACAGCCAGGACTGTTAAACAGAAAAACCCTATCTCAGCCTCTGCCTCCCAAGTGCTGGGATTAAAGGCATGTGTCACCACCATCCGGCTATGCTAAGGAGAAAAAAAAAAGATATTTTTAAAAAGGACTTGGAGGGCCAGCAAGATGACTTAGCAGAGCACCTGCCTCTGCCTCCCCAGTGCTAGGATTAAAGGCGTATGCCACAATGAATGGCTTCACTTCTTGAAGACCAGGGTTCGATTCCCAGCACCCACGTGGTAAGCTAATAACGATCCTTAACTCCAGTTCCAGGGGATATGAAGCCCTCTTATGACCTCTGCAGGCATCAGTCACGCATGTAGTCCACACATACACATAAACATTGAAAACACTCGAACACAGAAGAAAAGTAATAAAGCTATATATTTTTCATTCCGTGTGGCAAATGGTAGAGAAAACAATGCTTCAGAGGCTTGTGAGTACCTGGAGAGCCTTAACACAAACCTAGACAAGAGACATGAGCTTGAGAGACATGGACTTGACCAGTGGGGAGAAGCATTCCAGCCAGAGGATGTACTGTCCTCTGATTCTAAATGGAGGACATTTGATACCACATCACTCCAGGTCAGCTCTTCTGGGTGGCAGGCCCAGCAGCATGTTTTTTCTTGAACTTCTGATCCTGCTGCCTCACCTGTGTGCTAGGATTACAGCCATGTCACACCGCACCCAGTTTTTATGTAGTTCTTAGGATTCCACTCAGGGCTTTTTGCATACAAGGCAAGCAAGCACTCTCCATGCCTAGCTCCCCACAGCATTTCTCTTCCTGCACAAGCCCCAGTCTGTCTCCTCCTTCCCCATCCCAGGTCATCAGCTCCCTCAGAGCAGTTCCCGCCCAACTCATTGCAGGTTTTCTGCCTAAGGTTGCACCGAGCACCTGTCGTTCAGCTCTGTGATTCTCAAGGGGCTGAGTTTACTGTGTTGCTTAGGAAACCAACAGGAGCACCAGATTCTTTAATCCTGCGACAGTGGGATTCCCTGACTGTGACAACATCATCCCCCCAGAATAGAAGCAAAAGGCTTTCTCACCAGAAAAAGAAACACTCATTTCATGCCATCTCTTTGGAAACAGAGCAGAAGATAAATAGAGGCCACCCAACGCTTTCCCCTGGAGGCTCCCTTCTCCTCCCCCTATGTAGATCAGATTCTGCCCAGCCCAGGTGTCCTGGGCAGGGCTCCCTCTTTGCTCAACCCAAATTAGGTCTCAGGTTAAAAGCCTGAAGACCCATTTCTAGATCCCTGGTAACTGACTGTTGGGATTAACTATTGTGACTAAAATAAAAGTCCTTAACAGTTGTCTAGTTCCACAATTACTCCCTTATTTCCTCCATCAAAGGACAAAAAACCATAAGGACAAGGAAGAGACAGGACCCTTCTTAAGACCACACAATACATCAGAAGTGGAGACAAGGTTTGAACTCATGCCTTTCCCCCATCCTTGACTAATGTTTTCTCACCAACTGCGCGTGGAGGTGGCTTCTCATAGCAACACCTCTTTGGGTAGACGGAGGGGTTGCCATTGCTTGCCATTCCCACACATCTCAGCCTGGCTCTTCCCTCACTCAGCTTCAGACTAGGGAACTACAGGAGAGTAGAAAGCTAAAAGTAGCACTGACCTTGGCCTGAAGGGCAAGCCTCTGCTCCTACTGAGGAGAGCAGAGAGAGGGGGCAAGTGAAGGACAGACCTTAGATGGCTTTGGTCAGTTCAGCCTTCCTGGCCTCAAATCTCCTGCTCCGCCCTTGTGCTTCAGTAAACCGTGGTTAGAACAGAATACAGGAAGAAATCAGTGCTCTCCCGGCCTGAGGAGGAAGAGAGGAGCCTGACATGGATCTTTTCCCTCTTCCAGTCTCCAAAACACTGTCCATGGGAAGCCTCAGACCCTAGATCAGATAGACCAAAAGTTAAAGCAAGGAATTAAGGAACTGGAGAGATGGCTCAGAGGTTAAGAGCACTGATTGCTTTTCCAGTGGTCCTGAGTTCAATTCCCAGCAACCAAATGGTGACTCACAACCGCCTATAATGAGATCTGGTGCCCTCTCGGGCAAACATGCAGACAGAACACTGTCAATAACAAATAAATAATGCCGGACGGTGGTAGCACACGCCTTTAATCGTGCACTCGGGAGGCAGAGGCAGGCGAATCTCTGGGAGTTCGAGGCCAGCCTGATCTACAAGAGCTAGTTCCGGGACAGGCACCAAAGCTACAGAGAAACCCTGTCTTGAAAAAAAAAAAACCCAAATAAATAAATATTAAAAAAAAACAAATATACTTCCCTAGAGTTTCTAAAGAATGAGAGTCAGAGGTTAGGCCTGCCTCCAGATTTCCTGCATGAGAAGCAAGCCCACGAACATTTGAAACTTTTCTCATTTCAATGACGTGAAATGTGTTTAAAGTGTCGGCACAAAACAGGTTTTCATGATCAATGTGGTCAAATGATCTGGGCTCAAATCTTGACTTTATGAGTGACCGTGGGCAACTACTTCAGTTCATATATAAAATAGCGCTCCTCTAGCTGAGCACGAGGGGGTAGCGAGGAGGAAGAGTGGTACAGCTCAGCTGCACAGCACTCGCCCTGTGTGTGCAAAGCCCTAGGTTCAGCACCTCAAGGGGGGGATGGCACAGGAGAGACAGCTTAGAAGTCAGGAGCGCTGGTTCTTGCAGAGGATCCAGGTTAGGTTCCCAGCACCCACACAGTGGCTCAGAACCATCCGTAACTCCAATTCCAAGGGATTTGATGCTCTCTAACCTTCATGGGCAACAGGCATGCACGTGCTACACACACATTCACGCAGGCAAATATTCCTACACATAAATTTTCTTAAATTTCTTTAAAGAGAAAAATATCATGTATCACGCTGGGCACTGATACATGGCTTATATTCCCAGTATAATTTAATTTCTAGCTGGGTATGGTGGCACATGCTCATAATCCCGGCACTCAAGAGACTGAGTGAGACATGAGGAATATGTGTTTGGGGGTCAGCCTGAGCTCAAAACACCGAAACAAAACAACGTAGTTTTCAAAGGACAAAGTAGGTAGGCTTTCGCTATGCCTTGAACAGTTTGCATTCAGAGGTAAGTACAGTCAGCCCTGCTCTGGAGAATTTGGCATTCAACTACAACCTTCAAGACCAAGCACACACTTGGCCTTCATATTCTGCCCCCTGGGATCCTCTCTGATCCTCATCCCAGGAGGCTCTCTTAGCATAGAACGAGAGCCCTGGGCTGGCCTTAGAAGTAGACCGTGTCTCTCCTTCCACCCATCCAGATCTGCTCGACACAAGGTTGGGCACACAGTGGGGCCCCAGGAAGACCTATTAACTGGCACCGTCACAGCTTCTGGTTCTGAGCCCAGGAGGAGCCGGCAATTCCTCAGTTCCCCAGAACTGGCTGCAGAGTGGCGGCAGGTGTAATTCATCTGTTTCACCGGAACCAGGGCCCTGGGGGAGCCCGCTGGGGCCCAGCTGCCCTTTTGGCTCAGAATCTGGACCAACAGCTCCAGGGAAGGCGGGGTGCTGCTGTTTCCTCCCCTCCCCCCAGGAGTCTGAAAGGAGACTGAATCCCGGGTGAAGGACCAACTCGAACTGTGTGTTGCTACTCTGTTGCTGACTCTGTTAAGGTCTTTGAATGTTTAATACCATGCTGGTGGGATGCTGAGGAAAGAGACATGTTTTTAGTGTGCCCCTAAAGCAGGCAGTTTCAAAACACCCTGGGGCCTTAGGAATGAAACCTTTCCCCAGTTTGCCAAAGGAGTGGATAGAAAACAGTTGTCTTATAATGGGGTATTAGGAAATTGACGGCCCCGAATGCCGATGGGAAGAATTTGCACTGAACTAAGTTTTTTGTACTACTTAGCCCTGGCCTCCCTCCTCCCGATTATTGGGCAGGGAAAAGTTCCAAGAGCTGTGCCTCCTACACCAGTTCCCAGGCACTCTCAACCCTTCACTCACCCTTGGGAGTGAGAGGTCATGCAATGAGACGTCACTTCTCTCCACTTTCAACCTAGGGTATATGGATTGATCTAGGAGGGACCCTCCTCCCTCTTCTGTAGCCTAACTCCAGGAACCTGAGCCTATCCCTACAAATGGCCTTATGCTGAGGACCCCGTCCCTGTCCCCGTGGCCTATAGCACCCACACTCACCAGCTCCATCCTCAGCGCCATGATCTTGTCCCCCAGGCTGTGGCCGGTGCTGGGTGCCCCAGGGAGCAGCAGGTCCCCAGAGGTTCCCAGCTCCCACTCGCCTCGCAGCCCGCGGAGCAGCCCTTCCGGGGTCTTCCTGCCCACCTTGCCCTCCACGTCCCGCAAGTCAGGCGTCTGGGACTCTGCAGTCCCCTCCATGTGGGCCCAAGCCAAAATAGGGCTGGGCGACCAGACGCGGAGGTCCAGTTCCCTAGGGTCCTCCCTTCTCTGCCGCGAACGCGGAGCGAAACCGGTGGGTCCCCGCCTGCGCCGCGCTGGGGGCAGGAGGAGGGCGCCGTAACGCTCAGAAAAGCCGCGCAGTCGGGTAGAGAAAGATAACCGAGTGTTGCGCACACAACTTCTAGCCGTGGATGGCATGCGACTGGATTTGGAACTGAAGACCTCAAAGGAAGCTCAGTGCCTTCTCATTACGTTGACGCCAGCTAAACGCACAGCAGACAGCTAAAAAGATGTTTGCTGAATGAAAAGTACACAGCCTCAGTCAGAATTAAAAGGACTGCAGAGGGTTTGGAAGTCTTTCTGCTAATAACTGTGTCGGTTACAGGAGTTAGAATATAGCTGCCCAGCTCACAGACACCTCCCAGTGCTCAGAAATCAGACTGAAGGAGTAATAGAAGGGCAATTCCCCTGGCCATTGAAAAGAAACCATTATTAAAATTCAAGGGATCCCCCCACGGTCACGGTCTTGCTCTTGCGCTTACAGGGTCTTGCAAAAAAAAAAAAAAAAAAAAAAAAAAAAAAAAAAAGAGGTGCTTCTTAAACTTAACTAAATATGGGTCATCTGAAGACCTCTTGAAGTTAGGGCCTTAGATACTGCATTGCCCTTTTTTGAGGGGAGTGAGGGGCAGAAAGGTTCTTGCTGGTTCTATCTGGCCTGGAACTTGCTATGTAAGGTAGGTGACCTTGAAACTCACAGAGACGTACTTACCACTGCCTCAACAGTACAGGGATTAAAGTCCTATTCAAAAGATTTATTTTCTATTTTACTTAGATGTACATGTTCGCATAAGTTGAGTATATGCACAGGAGTACAGGTGCCTAGAGGCCACAGCAGGGCATCGGATCAGATCCCTGGGAATTGGATTTAGCAGTTGTGAGCTGTGCAAAACGGGTGCTGGGAACTGAACCGAGGTCCTCTCTCAGAGCGGTTATGTGTTATTACCTGCTGAGCCATCTCCAGCCCCAAGAGTCCGCATTTCTAGGATGCTACAGGGGATGGCATGCTCCTGCTCTGAGGACCACACTGAGTAGTAACAAGGGTATATTTATAAGCTGTTTGGACTTAATTCTACAGGTAAGGAGTGGCCATGAAAAACTGTTTTGTCCCAGCATTACGGGAATATTTACAATGAAATGCGCCCCTTCCCTCTGCTCTTTCAGACCTGGGGGCTCACTTCCCAAAGGCAGCCCACTCTCAGTTTGTCGTTTGTAGTGTGTGTGTGCTTAACTACTGATAATTCTAGATTCTACTTATTAATTTCCTACATGTATGTGTCTTTGTGTGGAAATATACACATAAGTACAGATTCCCCCTGAGGTCAGAAGAGGGCCTTGGATCCCCTGGAGTTGTAGTTACTGTCAATAGTGAGCCATCCAATACAGGTGTTGGTAACTGAATTTAGGTCCTACTGTAAGAGCAATCTGTACTCTTAACTGCTAAGCCGTCTCTCTGGTTCAACCATCCATAATTCTAAACTATCTTCTACCACTCATTCTACATTTATTTATTATTATTATTTTGGTTTTACACAGGGTTTCTCTGTGTATCACTGACTGTCCTGCAACTCACTTTGTAGACTAGGCTGGCCTCAAACTCAGAAATCGGCCTGCCTCTGTCCCCCAAGTGCTGGGATCAAAGGTGTGCAACCCCATTTGGCTAAATTTAAGTATTATATACTGACTTCTTATGAATATATGGATTTCTTTTTGAGGCCTTGAACTCAATGATCTGTCTGCTTATGCCTCCCTAGTGCTCAGATTAAAGATTTATGCCACTGAACCAGGCTCAAATATACGGACTTACTTTCTTTGAGACACAGTCTCATATGGCCCAGGTTGCAGAGCTGAGGAGGACCTTGAACTTGATCCTGCCTGTTACTTCCAGGTGTCAGGAATCACGAGTATATACCATCATAACTCACCTCTTCTTAGTATTACTTGACCCATGATTTTTGTGGAGGCTTAAATAAGAATGATCCCCATAGGTTCATATATTTGAAATATTGGTTCTCAATTAGTGGAAGTATTTGGGAAGGATTAAGAGGTGTGACCTTGGAGGAGGTGTGTCATTGGGGGTCAGCCTTAGGGTTTCAAAGCAGCCAAGTCATTCCCAGTTAGTTCTCTCTGCTTTGTGCTTTTAGATGGAGATGATATTTGAGCTCTCAGTGTTTCTCTTTGTGTGACCTTGGCTATCCTGGATTTCACTCTGTAAACCAGGCTGGCCTTGAACTCAGAGACCTGCCAGCCTCTGCTACTCAAATTCTGGGATTAAAGGTCTGCACAGCCACTGCCCCACCTTACTCTGGACTTTTCTTTTCTTTTTTTTTTTTTTTTTTTTTTTTTTTGGTTTTTCGAGACAGGGTTTCTCTGTGGTTTTGGAGCCTGTCCTGGAACTAGCTCTTGTAGACCAGGCTGGTCTCGAACTCACAGAGATCCGCCTGCCTCTGCCTCCCGAGTGCTGGGGTTAAAGGCGTGCGCCACCACCGCCCGGACTTTTCAAGGAGCAAGGAAAACTGGAGAAGTAAAACTCTGAGTCAAGGAGACTAGCTAGAGACCAAAAAACAAAACAAAACAAACAAACAAACAACTGAAAGGACCTGGAGTGGCTTGTTAGAGAGAATTTGATCACAACAGGTGCCATTGAAAGAATTGGGTAACTGAATAATTCATTCATTTCAAATGGTACTTAATATTATTTAAAAAACACAAATTATTTCAACTATCATGAAAGTTGATTACAACTAACATCACTGGAAAAAGACAAGGTGAGTCCCAGCTATATGGCCTGATGCAATTTACCAAACAAGGGAACCTAAAAGAATCTGAGAACAAATGGATATGACCAGTACAGTAGCTGTGGAACTGTGGGTTCTATGGAGAGATGCAGCAAGCAGGCTGACATAGGAGCTAAAGCTCAGGAGAGAAATGAGGACTGCACTTATGAGTTTGTGACACCGGACAATATAGGTGGAATTTCTTGTTGGGACTGCCAGCTCCCAAATAACCACACAGAGACTTATTATTAATTACAAAAGCTTGGCCAATAGCTCAGGCTTGTTCCACTAGCTCTTATATCTCAAGCCAATCCATTTTAAAAATTATTTTCTTCCTCATGTCTTTATTACTTTTATTCTGCCCATGTTGCTTTCCTGCTTCCTCTGTTTCTGGCTGGCAACTCCCGAGACTCCGCCTTTATTCCCAGCATCCTCTTACTTTGGCTTTCTCACCTAACCTCTTCCTACCTAGCTATTGATCAGTCAACCTTTTATTAAACCAATGAGAAGGCGTCTTGGTAAAGACACATCTTCACAGTGTACAAAAAGATTAGTTCCTAACAGGACAATAATAGAGATCACGAGTGGATAAGATCACCTATGAAGAATAAATGAGAACAGAAAAGGGTCAGAAACCGGTGAGAAAACATCTGCTTGCTTGTTTTTAAATAAGGAAAAAACCCACCAAACTAATTTTGTTTCTGAGAGCAGGTTTCACTTTATAATCTTGGCTGTCCTGGAACTCACTTTGTAGACCAAGTTGACCTGGAATCTATGGCGATCCTCCTGCCTCAGCCTCCTGAATGCTGGAAGTGGATTACCATGGGGAGCTCTTAGCATCTTGCTATGAAAACCGACTTGACTCAAACTGAAGATTCTTCTTCCCTCCCCTCTGTAGGAGAGAAGGCATAACACCATACCAACCCGACACTGTTAGCATGTTGAAAGATACCATCCCTCCATGCAGGAGGCAGGTGGAATTTGGAGAGTCAAAAAAAAAAAAAAAATCAAAGGTGCATTCCTTTAATCCAGTTCTTGAGAGGCAGAGGCAGATGTGTAATGAGTCTTTCTGTCTCACCAGCCAGCTCCCAAATACAACACAGAGGCTTATCATCTTGAAAACTCTGCCTTAGCTTAGGCTTATTCCTAACAAGTTCTTATTAACCCATATTTTTTGATAATTTATTTTTATTTAGTTAATTGGTTTTTTGCCTGCATGCACGTCTGAAGCCCTGGAACTGGAGTTACTGACAGGTATGGACTGCCATGTGGGTGCTGAGAATTGAACCTGGGTCCTCTGGAAGAGCAGTCAGTGCTCTTAATCACAGAGCCATCGCTCTAGCCCTTAACCCATATTTTTTTAATCTATGTTCATTACCTTTACTCTGAACTGCCCATCCTGCTTCCTCCACATTTGGCTGGTGACTCTGCCTTTCTTTCTCTCTGAGTCCTCCCTGTCCTCATAGGTCCTGCCTAACCTCTTCCTGCCTAGCTAATGGCCATTCAGCTCTTTATTAGACCAACCACAATGGCACATCTTCACACAGTGTAAAGGAATGTTCTGTAACACCGATGGACCTCTGTGAGCTCAAGTCCAGCCTGGTTTACACATAGGGAGGGCAATATGGAAAGACTCTATCTCAACTTCCTGCTCCCTCAAAAAAGGACTACTCAGGGGTTGGAGATGGCTCCATGGTTAAGCACACTTGCTGTTCTTCGAGAGGCAGTTACCTTCACAGCATGACAGGCAAGCTCACAAATTTCTTTAACTCCTGCTCCAGGGCTATCAGATAGTAGTAGCTCTGGTCTCCACAAGGGGCACACACATTCACATAATTAAAAATAATTTTTAGAGGGCTGGAGAGATGGCTCAGTGGTTAAGAGCACTGGCTGCTCTTCCAGAGGTCATGAGTTCAATTCCCAGCAACCACATGGTGGCTCACAACCATCTGTAATGAGATCTGGCACCCTCTTCTAGCGTGTGGGCATACATGGAGGCAGAATGTTGTATACACAGTAAATAAATCAATAAATCTTAAGAAAAAAAAATAATTTTTAGGGTTTTTTATTTGTTTTTTAAAGAAGCGGACGGTAGCGGCGCCAAATCTTTAATCCCAGCACTCAGGAGAGCCGGGCAATAGCAATGCAGGTCTTTAAACCCTGCACTCAGGAGGCAGAGGCAGGAGAATCTCTTGTCAACGGAGTGAGTTCCAGGGATAGCAAAGGAAACACAAAGAAACCCTGCCTCGAAAAAAAGAAAGAAAAAAAAAACCACGAAAAACTAAAAACAAACAAACAA